AAAACGTATGCTTTGCTCCTCAATTTGGTCAAGCCCGCCAAGCCCGGTGACTAGAATCTGGACAAGATTCTTCAAGTACTTGGAAGCCATTATTGTCCGAAGCCCTCTGCCGTCGTGCAGCGTTTTCGTTTCAACTCGCGCGGAAGGGGAATCAGTCGGCAATTTTATCGCAGCACTAAAAAGCCTGTCCGAGCACTGCAGCTTCGGGGCTGAACTCGGAAAACATGCTCCGCGACCGCGTCGTGTGTGGCATAAACAACGTGGATGTCCAAACAAGACTTCTGGAAAAACCGGACTTCATCTTCGACGATGCTGTGCAGACCGCCCTGGCAATGGAAGCAGCAAAAAGGGACGCAAGTGAGATGGCGCAAGCGAACACAAGCAGCGCTTTCTCGACTCACCGTGTCTCGTCAGGTTCTGGGGGCGTCACCTGCTACCACTGTGGGGACGGACATCTTGCATCAAAATGCAAGCATGTGAAGACAATCTGCAATTACTGCCACAAACGAGGTCATTTGGCGAAGGTGTGCACTTCGCGACGAAGGGACAGCCAAGCCCAAAGCAACAGCCCCACCAAGGCACGTTCATTCTCGGCTTGCAGTTCACCGTTGTCGAGTAACCCTCATCGTGTTAATACGGTACACAAGCAGGACGCCGCTACCACTTCATTTTGCGAAGTTTTTGACATGTGGCAAGTCGACTACGCCACGCCGCCTTTCACCGTCACTGTTGACGTTTGCGGCAAGCCGCTCCGCATGGAAGTGGACACGGGGGCAAGTGTCTCTGTCATGGCCAAGTCGCGTCTTCTTAAGCTTTTGCCTTCGGTTCCTGTGCAGCCGTCACAAGTGCTTCTGCGAAGCTATTCCGGGGAACTAAAAAAGGTTCAGGGCAAAGCTGACGTCAGTGTGAAGTTTCATGGCAGAGAGGCCGACCTACCTATTTTTCTGACCGGAGACGGATCGCCCACTCTTCTTGGACGCAACTGGATGCGTGAGCTGGGCATTGGCGTCTCCGATGTTGAAGTGAACATCCACGCACTTTCCGACGCCAAACACCTAGTTCAAGACTACGCCGAAGTGTTTGAAGAAGGCCTGGGTACATTCAAGGGTGCTAAAGCTTCTCTACATGTTCCTTCAGATGCTCTGCCTCTGTTCTTCAAGCCACGTCCACTGCCGTACGCCTTGACAGATGGAGTAACTCAAGAAATCCATAGACTAAGAAGATATTCCATTTTTGTTCTAGTCAAGACAGCAAAGTGGGCTGCGCCTATTGTTCCTGTGACCAAAAAGGATGGACGCATCAGAATCTGTGGAGACTTTGGTGTCACCATAAACCCAGTGGCAACAGTGGAGCAGTACCCTATTCCAAGGATCGAGGACCTGTGGACTGTGCTTGCTGGAGGTGAGAAATTCACAAAATTGGATTTGGGAGATGCGTACTAGCAAGTTGTCCTTGATGAGGCCTCTAGGGAGTATGTCACAATTTTGACGCATATGGGGTTATTTCAGTACACCCGGTTGCCTTTTGGTGTCTCATCTGCTCCTGCCATATTTCAGCACGAGATGGAGAACTTGTTCAGGGGACTGCCCCATGTAGCAGTCTATCTTGACGACATTCTTGTGAATGGCCCAAATAATTCTGAGCACCTTCGCAACCTTCGTGCTGTACTTAGCAAGCTTCAGGAATCGGGCCTCAAGCTGAAACTTGAAAAATCCCATTTCTTCGTGCCGCAAGTTGAGTATCCCGGGCACATCATCAGCAAGGAAGGCCTTTCCCCGAATGTTGACAAGGTAGCAGCCATTCTGCATGCTTCTGTGCCTCAAGATGTCAGGGAACTTCAGAGCTTCTTGGGACTTGTAAACTTCTACAGGCGCTTCTTACCCAATCTTTCGTCACTCCTTCGTCCACAGCACTTACTTCTTTGTGAAGGGAAGAAGTGGGAGTGGAGACATGAACAACAAGATGCATTCAATGCCTGCAAGCACTTGGTGACATCAGCTCCAGTTCTAGTGCATTTCAACCCTGCCAGGCCTGTTTGCCTCAGCTGTGACGCATCGCCTTATGGTATAGGTGCAGCTCTAGCGCACAAAGATGCTGATGGCGGGGAACATTCCATTGCTTTTCCCTCAAGGAGCTTGTGAAAAGCAGAACAAAACTACAGTCAACTCGACAAGGAGGCACTGGCTTTAGTATTTGGTGTGGATCGGTTCCACCAGTACTTGTGGGGCATCTCGTTCGAAGCACGCACTGACCACAAGCCACTTCTTGGTCTGCTGGGTGCCAACAAGCCATTCCCGTGCAAGCTTTGCCTCGAGTGGTCAGGTGGGCTCTGAAGCTGTCTGCTTACAAGTACGAACTTGTATACAAGCCTGGCAAAAAGCTCGGCCACGCTGATGCTCTTAGTAGACTGCCTCTCCCAGCTGACACTACTGCATTACCACGACCTGCTGAAATCTTCTTGCTAGAGGAGGCATATCCGAGACTCCTTTCACCAGGTGTTGTGGCCCAAGCCACACGAAATGACCCGCTTCTGGGCCATGTTGTTCTTGCCCTTCTGAAAGGTGAAAGCCTTCCAGTAGGACCAGAGGGGAATCCTTGCAATACCAGAAGCTCAGAACTCGGTCTCCATGAGGGTTGCCTACTCTGGGGATCAAGAGTAGTGATCCCAAAGTCATTGCAGACCCAAGTTCTTGGTGTTCTTCACGCCAGCCACCCGGGTATCGAGAAGAGCAAGATGATTGCCGGGAGCCATGTTTGGTGGCCAGGCATTGACAATGATATTGCCAACAGCGTGAAGAGCTGCGCTACGTGCCAGACTCAACATCGAGCTGCATAGCCGGTTCAGCAGACGCCGTGGCCTTTTCCACAGCGACCCTGGTCAAGGCTTCACATCGATTTTGGGGGACCATTTCTAGGTCACACATTCTTGGTTATTGTGGATGCATTCTCAAAGTGGATAGAAGTCTTTCCTGTGTCTTCTACATCTGCAGAAGCTACCATTTCTGCATTGAGAATTGCATTCGCTCAGCATGGCCTGCCTGATGTCATAGTTTCAGACAACGGTCCTGCCTTCACCAGTGCCCAGTACCTTGAGTTTTTAACTCGAAATGGAATACGCCGCATGCTTGTACCGCCGTATCACCCTGCCTCATATGGTGCAGCTGAAAGAGTTGTACAAACTGTGAAGAACAAACTCAAGAAGTCTGGTTCTGGGAACTTCCAAACGCAGATCTCCAGGTTTCTGTTCCACTATAGGACCACACCACATGAAGTGACAGGTCGGCCACCGTGTGAACTCCTGTAAGGAAGAATGTTCAAGACTCCGTTGGATGTCCTCAGGCCAAGCCTGCAGGCATATGTATTCCTAAAACAACTCAAGCGGAAGTTGTATGCTGACAGAGGGTCCCGGCAGGCTCCATCACTGCAGCCAGGTGATGATGTGTATGCGCGTAACTTTCACAGGGGTCACAGGGGCACACCCTGGGTGCCTGCCAGTGTCGTGGACGTCACTCCATCATCAGCCAGTGTCCGTTTCGAAGATTGCACCTTGGGAAACCGACACGGCGACCACTTGCGCCTTGTGCAGGCAGAAACATTGGCCTCTCCTGAAACTGCTATCGCTGCAGCTCCACCACAGTTGGAGCCACCGCTTCATCATGCGCCAGCTATTCCAGAAGTGCCTCATCAGGAACAGCTACCTGGAACTGGCTTCTCTGGGAGTAGCTGTGCCACAGAGAGTGACGGGACTGCGCTCAGCAGGGGTGTGCATCTGAACAGTGACTCTGTCGTGCCTACACCTAGCACGCCGAAGTTGCGACGTGGCATAAGGACTAGGAAACCGGTGAATAGGTACTCCCCGTAGTCTTCCTCCTAAGAGGGGAGGAGTGTTACAATGTTGGTTCAAATGCAGCGCCCCCACGCGGCACTGATAGTTGTGTTTAGCTGTGCAAGCCTGGCACAGCAGCGGGGTGGCCGTTTTGGGAAAGAATAAAACAGTTCGTTCTGGGCTAAGGGCTCAAGATGCTCTCGTGTTCTTCGCGAACCTGATGGCCTACTGTTCACGGTTGTCACTACCGCCTGGCCATCAGTTAATCTTCACATGTAACAGAGTAGTGGCCTAAGAACTCTTGACCCCCACACCAGTAAATTTCATGCCTTCCATTGTGGGGTCATCATGTAACATTGTTTTTCATGGCAGCATAGTTCGTATGCCTTGTATGGGTGTTACGCGTGGCACGTTGGCCTGGATCGCGTTTGAAAATGCACAGTATGACCCATGTACTAGATTGAAAAGTCGCTTAGAAACTTGTGAAAGCACCCTGTGGTCTAGAAGCAACAATTAACCACTATGGATAATTGAAATACTAGTATGTTGACCTAGTCTTATGCTTGAGGTTAATAGTCAAGGCTTTTTCAGAAAATTCTGCCCCGCCGCAGTGGTCTAGTGGCTAAGGTACTCGGCTGCTGACCCGCAGGTCGCGGGTGCGAATCCCGGCTGCGGCGGCTGCATTTCCGATGGAGGCGGAAATGTCGAGGCCCGTGTGCTCAGATTTGGGTGCACGTTAAAGAACCCCAGGTGGTCGAAATTTCCGGAGCCCTCCACTACGGCTTCTCTCATAATCATATGGTGGTTTTGGGACGTTAAACCCCACATATAAATTCTTCAGAAAGTTCTCAAAACTTCATAAGCCTGAAGAAGGGCACGACTGATTTTTGACACAGCGAGTGTGCGACATGGCTCTAAAATGTGATCCAATGACTAGATTGAGAAATTCACTATGAAGGAATTGATTATTTGATCAGTGTGCTACATAACGGGTTGTAAGTTTATATATGTACTTCTCTATAGCTTGTAACACCGGCATTGTTGTAAGCTTGTGCGTCATGCATTTTGTTACATTTGCGCTTGTTAAGAATGTTGTAAGAGTATGTTTTTCTATTTTTCTTTATTTATGCACACCTCCATGTTTCCTAACAAGAAAAACGCTTTTTGTTTGTAGCCCAAGCTGTTCCAAAGGTTCGTATTCAGCTGCTGCTGAAGGGTTGTGCGAATCGACCCTTCTACCACCTCGTGGCAGCACGGCTGCGGCGACGGCCTCGTGATGAGGACACCATCGAACAGATTGGTTCCTTCGACCCGATGCCCAACGAGCGTAACGAGAAGTTAGTGGCCATCAACTTTGACCGTCTCGGCTATTGGTTTGGGCAGGGAGCAAAGACGAGCCCGGGAGCGGGCATGCTCCTAGGTTTGGCAGGGTACACAAGTGTGCATCCGAAAATCTACATGAAGGCGTGGAGGAACCGGCGTGCAGCCATTGCAGAGGAGGAGAAGGCAGCGAAGGAAGCCACTGAAGGAAAGGATGAGGCACACAAGGCTGAGAGCTAGGATTGAGCTGTGCATTTGTTCTTTTGTGTCCTGCACGATGGCATCAAAATCGGCAAGCTAGATAAAGGAAGAATAATGCTGAACTGTGCTTGAGGTGCACCGGGACAAAATTTTTAAGTCGCAGTCTATGTGTTATACCTAGGTCTGTTAAAATGTGTGAGTGACTGTGTGGTCGTATGTTTACCTGAACTAGACAGAAAGCAGTTGTGGATGAAAAAAAATAAATTTGACAAAATTACTGATGGTTCATATCTTTGATTGCAGTGATGCATTTCTCCATCACAAGTGTTGAGCTCAACCGGAATCAAATTCCTTAGTTGTGAATAGCTCATTACCCGAGTTACAAAAAGTAACCACTTGTTGGGATATCACTCAGATAGGCCTCGATCAAAACAGGAAAGAGATCTGTGACAGTGTGTAAAGGGGACGCGTGATGAAATGTATAAATGCTGTTCAGAGGTGATGTTAGTATATATAATTCGATATGCCCTTATTTAGTCAAAGCAGTGCTTTTTTATCAACAGCAAAAGCTCCTTGCATTGTATATGCAAAATATTACAAAAGAATGCCACAGTTTCGTCATTTGTACAGTTTCACGGCTCAAGTATGTTCGGACCGGGAAGATACCGATTAATAGAACTATACCCATCGTGACTGACAGAACACTGGGATTTTGTTAATGGGGTTTACCTGGGTTTAATAATCACTGTAGTATGAGAACAGGTGTGGCTACATGGGGGCAGAGGATTCCAGAGGCAAAAGTGTCCTCAGCATCGAAGGGCCACCCGAAACTTGATATGTTTTCTCTGCTAAGAGTGGAGGCTAGACACTGCACTAGAGTTCCTGTATATGTTCCTATAGGGCAAGTACGTACATCAACCCTACATTGCATGGGATGTTTTCACCAATCCTTGTAGTATCCCCATAAGCAGCATTTTGGGCACTGTGGAAGTAGCTTCTATGCGCGAACATTCTGGGCATTGACGGCATCAAATCAGTCTGGCACGCATTTTCAAAAAAACAGACTGTTGCACACTGCACATGTTAGTACTACTGGTTGATTGGATTGTGGGGTTTAACGTCAACTGATCGACTTGTGCTGCGAGGGACCGTAGTGGAGGGCTCTGGATAATTCCTATCATCTTGTGTTATTTAACCTGCACTGACATTGAACAGTACATGAGCTACCCGCCCCGCCCTCAGAAATGTGATCACTTCAGCCAGAATTGAAGCTACATCTTTGAGGTCAGCAGCCGTGCACCGTGACCACTCGAGTTGTCGCAGCAGCGTTACAATTGTATCTAGACCTGAATAATTTATAGTTCAATGTAAAGCAGTCAATTAGTTAACTGAAGGGTGTATTAATAGGCTCAAGATGGTTCCTAACCACCCGATCATAACCGCTAGATGCATTGACCTTATCACCAACCATTAAACTTTATATATGAAGCAAATCTGCATGTGTTTTTGACGCATCTATTGCTATGCAAAGGCAGGCTTTCTCAAAAAATAATTATGCCTATCGTTTTGTGAGCACATTAGAGTCCGTGTTTCTTGAAAACTGTGCCCTGGAGGCTGTTTGTCACAAGACCCACTTATTGAATGTAACAGACAATTGGCCCATAAAAGCATCGCGGATAATGTCTGGAACCTTAGTGTAGTAATTGCGTTGCAAATTCAAATGAAGAAGTGGACAAAAAAATAACCCTTTTTGTCACCATTATGTGAAAAGTTTCGATCACACCGACCGAAAAGTTACGTTTCGTCCAGAAATTCATCTCAATTTCTTGTAATTGCTACACTTATTAACAATAATTAGCATATCTTATGCTTTCATTAGTTTATACTTCAGTTGGAAACATTTTGTTGCCTTTAAGAAAAAAATGAGCCCCTTGAAAATTCCATCTCTTTTATTCACATTTTGCAAGAGACACATATTGACATGAGCATACAGTGGGTCTTTGTCTGTTGTGCAAAACAGTTTGGTATTAGTACTTTGCGGAGCTTTTGTGGAGGGTAGCTGCGATATTTACTTCCATTTTATTACCATGACAATATACATACTCCCTATGTGGTCTTGCATGCAATGTATTATACAATATGTCGTGCTGTTTTTCACAATGAACCCCCACTAAGGGTATCCCTTTTACACATTTCATAGAGTGAAAATGTCCGTCGCTTTTTATATCGTTCGGTGCACTATTGTTCTGTGCTATTGCAAATACGGGGAAACACGCCAGTTAGTTTCGCATGCATTAAGCACTTTAGCAAACAGAGGAAACAAAACTCAATATTTCTCTCGCGGAAACAAAATAAATGTAACTGTACCAATAAAAAGCTTTTGTGTATATGCGAGCACATTATAAAAACTGAAGCGGCGATTTTTATTGGACATGCCACGCCATCTACAGACGGCCGTAGCTAGTTGCAGTGACGGCTGTTAAGACTTCCCCTCTGCAGGCACAACGCACGGCGTGGTGCGTTACAAATATCGCACATTGCTTTGAAAGCAATGCCGTCTGACGCTAGAACTGTCCACACTTCAGACTGTGTGTGAAGGGACTCTTCAGTTGCGCTGGCCTTGCGACTTGGTTGTTGTAGTCATCGCCGAGATCCTTGTGATCTCCCAGCTGCTCGTCATGTTTGCTGGCCGCATTTGTCTGCATAAAATTATAAAAAATAAAAAAAGAAATGTGATTGCTCGACTGTTTACAGTCGCAACACACAGGAACAAAGCATCATGCAATCAATATGTATCTATTACTACCTCCCCCCCCCCCCCCCCCCCACAAAAACTTGTTCATGCACACATCTGGTCGTGCTCGTAACTAGAAGTAATATTTAAAGTTAACCGCAACACAATGAAACCAACTACGTATGGTTTGTCGTCATGTAGCGCTTTTAAGACCAATTATGCAAAAATTTTAAATATTCGCTTTATATGTACGAGTGCGTTTTCCCTACGCTGTAGATGGCATTCCTAGACAAGCGATCATATTTTGAGGGGCAAAGCTCCTTTGGCCCGCACCTCGCCGTCGCTGTCTCAGCCCCCCGCCGCATCACGGCTCGCACCCCTCTCCCACCTGTGTCCCTGCCTCTCTTTCTTTTCTCTACCCTTTCCCCTAAAACCGGCGAACGTCGCTTCGCCCTGTTGTCAGCCCAGTGGTTGGTCTGTGGGCGACTCGTTTGCTGGATTCCGTGCCGACCGGTTGTGCCTTGCGATCTCCGGCGTCAGCGTAGCTCTGGCCGACTGGGCTCACCCTATCATCTCCTGACGCCGACCTCCGACGACAGTGTAGCTCTGACCGACTGGACTTGCTCTACGCCACCTCTTGACGCCGACAAGAGCTCTCGCAAGTGGTGCACCGTCCTCGGACTCCTGTGAACGTGTTTCCATCTTTCCTATCTCTCCTATCCCCTCGATATGTTGTTGTTGTTAGTGGTTCATAAGGAAAAGGAAGAAGGCACCTAATTTCTGTCTGCCTACAGGCGACACGGCGCAGTGCCTCCCCTCGATATGTCGTCGCTCTCTGGTTTACCACCTCACGCCTCTTTCTCTCTCTCTACACCTTTATTCCTATCCTTTTAATCCCTCCTCACCCCCATCCCTTGTGAGCCACTGTTGAGGCGTCGCTCGCTGAAGCAGACAGTTACGGGGCTCACTTTTCTCTTCCTTTCTCTCTTAAGAACCACTTAGTAGTAGTCCGTCGAATGGGCTGCCACAGAGCGCAGCAGCCGCTCTTCCCTCCTTACCTCCTTCGTGAAAGCGAGATGAGGCGCATTGTCAGTCGTTTGCGTTCCATTTCTCGGGAGATTCGCTCATCTTAGACTCATCGACTGTATTCGTGCACGGAACGACTGCTATTTTCGTGGCAACGTACGTACATGCGGCGTGGTGACGATGCTCGCTAAAGCCTGCAAAACATAAAATAATACCACACGACATCGCTCCTCCAAGCAGCGTCCGCAGACTGCGGCCGCGGATCTAGGCATCCGCACCACGGTGCGACAGCATTTTTGATGGCAGTAGACGACAGGAAGTGCCGCCGGCCCTGATAAGCGATATGTTGACGTCAATCAGCTGGTATACAGCGGTCGATCTTCTTGAAATATCCTGACTACACCCTGGCCAACAACGTCTTCAATGAAGTTAGACTGAGGCGCTAGGCCGGTTGGTGCAGCATAATTTCAATGTTTCACAGCGGGCGTGTCTCCTCTTTGTCAGTTTTCGTATCACGCGCTGTGGAACATTGAACTTAGGTGCAGCTGCCGACTAAAACCCTATTCTATGTTTAACCGAATATTCACGCGATGCCTTAGAATACTTGAAGGCGCGCGGAGCACTTATAAGAGGCCAGGGCTGTCGTTTGCTGCCGTGGTCTCTTGTAGCTTGGCGCAACGCCGGCAAAACCAGTCATCTATACACCTTCTCACAGGAAGGAAAAAAACACCGCCATGATGGGCTGTGCGCGGGAGTACAAAGGCTAAGGACGCGGCGTTGTCAGCGCATTTTCGAGGGGACGCGCCAATTCGCACAGCCCAAGGAGGGCTATGGTGGCGCCCAGGGAGGCGTTTATGAAAAGGTGAATAACACTTTTTCACAGGAAGGAAAAAAAATTGCCCGCAGCTTCCCTCGGGGGAACACTGAGGAGGATGCGGAGCATATAATTGGTTAACGGGGTGTTAAAGTGCGACTTACTTGGGTCGATGGCTAAATTGGTTAACGTGGTTGTGAAATGGGGTGTTAAATTGCGACTTACTTGGGTCGATGGCTAAATTGGTTAACGTGGTTGTAGGAGGGGGTGTTAAATGAGTGAACACGTACACACGTATGCGAAAGGGTGGCGCTGGTCGAAGGGACGTCGATCATTGTGTTTGTGGATTCGTTGGAATTCATTTCACCGCGACCTTGGACGTCGACGCGCCGTACAAACCAACCGACGAGCGGCAACTGAGCGAGCGAGCGCCGACCTTGAGTATATATACAGCGCGACGGCGCATGCACTGTCAGCTGTCGAATGTTCGAGAAGGGGGAGAAGCGCAACGGCGCATGCGCGCGCGTCAGCTGCCGATGTTCTCGAAGCGCGACGGCGCATGCGCGCGCGTCAGCTGCCGATGTTCTCGAAGCGTGACGGCGCATGCGCGCTACATTATACAGCTAGCGAATGTTCGTGAAGAGGAGAAGCGCACGCGGTGTGTAGAGGAGGAAGGGTGCACAGATGGTGGAAGAGTGAAGCGCGCGCGGTGT